AGGGGGAGGAGGAGGAGGAGGAAGAGAAGAAGAAGAAGAAGAAGAAGAAGAAGAAGAAGAAGAAGAAGAAGAAGAAGAAGAAGAAGAAGAAGAAGAAGAAAGACAAAAGACAAAAGAGGAAAGACGAAGGACGGAGACGGAGACGGAGACGGAGACGGAGACGGAGACGGAGACGGAGACGGAGACGGAGAAGGAGACGGAGACGGACACGGAGACGGACACGGAGATGGAGACGACGAAGAAGGCGAAGAAGGCGAAGAAGAAGGCGAAGAAGAAGAAGAAGAAGAAGAAGAAGAAGAAGAAGAAGAAGAAGAAGAAGAAGAAGAAGAAAGAGAAGAAGGAGACAAAGATGAAGACGAAGAAGGAGACGAAGGAGGAGAAGGAGAAGGAGAAAGAAGAAGGAGAAAGAAAAAGGAGAAAGTAGAAGACGACGAAGACGAAGACGAAGACGAAGACGAAGACGAAGACGAAGACGAAGACGAAGACGAAGACGAAGACGAAGACGAAGACGAAGACGAAGGAGGAGGAGGAGACGAACGAGACAGAGCAGGAGTAGTAGAAGAAGGAGGAAAAAAGGAGATTGAAGAAGAAGAAGAAGAAGAAGAAGAAGAAGAAGAAGAAGAAGAAGAAGAAGAAGAAGAAAAAGAAAGAAGAAGAAGAAGAAGAAGAAGAAGAAGAAGAAGAAGAAAGAAGAAGAAGAAGAAGAAGAAGAAGAAGAAGAAGAAGAAGAAGAAGAAGAAAGAAGAAGAAGAAGAAGAAGAAGAAGAAGAAGAAGAAGAAGAAGAAGAAGAAGAAGAATGATGAAAGACGAAAGACAAGAGAAGCCTTCGGAATCAGTCTGACCGCATAAGAAAAGACAAGAGAAGGCTTAGGAATCAGTCTGACCTTGATGACGAAGAGGACATGCATTATAAGGATGAGATGGATGAGGACATGGAAGATCTAGCTGAGCATTCTTAGTACGACAATTGCCACAATGGCTGGCATAAAACCACCAGTACCTTTCTCAGCTATAGATGCCGAGCCTAAAATCGCCCTGCGCACCGAACAAAAAAAAGAACCGGCAGGGGACTCATTTTGGCTGGCGCCGCCAGCCGTTTCGGTCCAGTAGCACCAAACCCCGCCGCCCTCCCGTGTTACCCGGCGCGCCTCGGCAAAATAGCTCGGAAAGGTACTGGTGGTTTAAGCATGCCCACCAAACATTCTTGACAAATGGCATGCTGATTGCTGGCAAACATGACGGAAGAACGGGCACCGCAAAAGACCATGCATTCAGTACAACGCCCAAGGCCGGAAAATGGACATAGAGCGTCCGGATGCAGAGTGTCCCTGCAGCCAGGAAAGGAAGGACAGTCCTCGACACACATGGATGCAGCAACCACGTCGTTGTAGTGATTGTGACAGAGAAGATGGCGGCTACATCGTAGCTGTGCAAAGGAGAAGGTCATTGCAGCCGTTTGTAGCTGTGCAAAGGAGAAGGTCACAGAGTGTTGGTGCATTGTCCTGCTGCAGCACGGGGCCAGATGAATGACCTTCGAAAATAAATACCTATATAGTATATATTAAAGAAAACGAAAGAATTGGCATACTTACGGGTACTTGGTCTTCAGAGGGTCGCCGTCTGCTGCAGTCTGATGTGACCAAATGGTCAGAAACGACAACAACGAGAAACCATGTTCCGAAAACAGCTAAGCAATCAAAATCATTAAAGGGACAACGTTAAAAAAAGGTCAAAAAGGAAGAAGTAAGAAAGGAAAGAAAGAAACAAAAGAATCACATGAATGACAAGCAAGCAGCGAAGCAAAGGGAGCCAACCAACTAAGAAAGCGAGAGGGAAGGGAAAAGAAGAGCAGAGAACAAAAATGTTGGGGGGTTGCCTTAGTGTGATTCTATGAGGAGTTCTGATGTGACCCTCAGCCAAAAGTCGTTTGTATTGTAACTACAGTTACTACACAACATATTTTTTCCCCGGATTTTTTTTTTTTGGTTTTTTTTTTTTKTTTTGGTCCTGGGGGGCATAAGTTGGGTGCCCGGGCGCCCGGGCGCCCGGGAAAGCAGCCTAGCTAAAAAGCTTTAAAATTTTAAGTGACTGTTAAGCTAAAACATCTCATGGGCTGATATGACTCTGCTTCTGAACCATACGTGAGACTTTCGCCTCATATGGCGTTTGTCAGAATCTATCTATATTTGCGGCCTCTAGCGAAATTTCAAATTTCTTTTTTGGTATGGATTGAATGCCATTTAACTAAAATATACTTGTCCAAAGATTCTTAACTAAGACTACAGAAAATCAGGCACTTCCGCTCCTCCACCCACCCAAAAAAAAGCCCACCATTCACTCTGGGCCTTGAACAGGGTAGGTGCCTTAAAGAGTTCACATCTGGCCAAAGTCACGGAAGTTATATGTTAGGGCCTATCCCCTTCAACAACAGATGCAGAGGATCAAGATCAGGGTGTGGTGACCCCCCGAATTCCAATACGCACAGAACAAAAGCTGTATTATACTATTATTTGGTATTTTAAAGTTGGGGTAACTTCAGTAGAGTCACAAAAACGAGTTAGAATTGCACTATGGGGCAAGATACAGTTTGCAATTGCACTTTGGGCACCCTACCTGGCCAGAAAGCTGCGTTGTATACATTGCCCAAACTGCAATTCAAAACTGTATCTTGGCCCATAGTGCCATTATAAGTTATAACTCATTTTTGTGACTCCCGCGTAGTTTCCCTTTTAAAGTTTCACCTATTTTTCCGATATTTTACGTCACTCTGTACTGAGTCTGTAGCCAAAATGTACGCATCAAAAATCAAAATTCATACTTGGAACTCCAGCTCAAGCATTCAAGATTTCGGGAGATGGCGAGGCTAATCTGGGTTTTAACTTTTAAGTTTCAACTTTTTAACTTTTTTAAGTTTTAACTTTTAAGTGCAAAACCAGAGAAAACTCTACTCAGTCAGAAGCACTGACCAAAGCATAGATGTACAGACTACTACAGACTCGTAGAACGGAGAATGGAGGCCATTTCAATTTCCATTATTTCCAAAGGGTGGCCAGAGTCTTATTGAACTGAACCTCATGGATTTTCAAAAAGAAAAGAAAAGAACAGAAAAGAAAGTACTTTTTCTTTCATAAAATCCTCATGACTCAAAGAAGAGAAAAGAGCCAACTACCTTAGACCATGGGAGGTCATCATCATGGCAGCCTCTTGGGAAACCATTATAACCAATACCTGCAGGCAACACAGAAATCGGTGCTCATACCAGATACACGTGACACATCATTTTTTTGCAAACGTATGTGAGCAATCACGCTTGAACTTTCCCCTCAAAAAAAGGAAAAAGAAAGAAAGAGAGACGAGGGAGGAATCCCCCTGTGGCTAAAAAAAAAAAGAAAAAAAGAAAAGGGTAAAGCCGCTTACTAAAGCGTTTCTGGGGAGGAGCTGGCCCTGAGTCATTACGGTCCAGATCCAGACCACCTGGTCTGTTCCTGGACCAGAAGGTGCAGCGCCCAGGTTGTCCCCTCGTTCGCCCAGGTATGTCACTTTGTTAGTTTGTGTGTTGCTTCTTCTTTGTTTCTCTTTCGGCATTTGACCGAGCCATCTCGGTTTATTCCAAGTTCAGCGGCTCATGCACGTGTCTGTGTGTGTCCAGGTCATTGAGCTGTCGTCCATCCATGTCCATCGGCCATCTCTCTCCCTCCACCTTCCTCCTCATCCTGTTGCATGTGTGCGCCACCGCACACATGCTTCAGTAAGAACACAAGACATGAGAATTGGCGAGTGCATCTTCACATAGATGGTGACAAGATACATCCGCCATTATGAATAGTGATGGATATATTGTGCCCTAGTGGTGGATGTATCTCGCTATAGCGGCAGATGCATCTTACCACCTTCTACGTGAAGATTCACTCATATGCATTTTTGAATGATTTTTCACATTTTGTGAGCAGTCCGGTGAGGCAAAAAGCCAGAACATACGGCATTTTTCGTGGTGGTGGGGGGGGGGGGGGGGGGGGGGTTTTTTTTTCCCCCAACCCCCCCCCCCCCCCCATAAAAAAAAAAAAAGAAAAAAAAAAACCCCCCCCCCCCCCCCCCCCCCCGGCGGGTCCTTTGGGACATCCGTTAAAATTGGAACGATACAGAGAAGATTAGCATGGCCCCGTGCAAGGATGGCACTCATAAATGGAGAAATGGTCCAAACATTGGCAAACAAACCAAAAAAAAAAAACCAAAAAAAAAAACCCATTTTAGTATTTTTATTAAAACTAGGTTATCCGGATAGCAGTGCCACATTTCAAACTCTCCTAACGTCTTACACAGTTTCCTCTTCCCTGCACCATCATTTCTTGCGCCACGTAGTCAATGACCTAAATTCTTTCGATTGCTCAGGAGGCGTCTTTGGATTCCTCACAATCATAGAGATAGCCATTTGCTCCCTAGACGTCTTCACACTCTTCGGCACCTGCGCTCTTTCACTTGGTCGGAGTGCTCGTCAATATGATTTGAAATGGACGCCTACCGGTAGTGCCGGGGAGTACAAATTCAATTGGCTGATAGAGATGTCATAGCCGGCGACAAAACGTGACGGTAAACCTGTCCTACTTCAGCCACGTTTGCCACGAAGCTTGCATTGACGTTCTCGTGCCTCGGCATGAATTTCATGGAGAGGTTTTCGCACGATGCCTTTGCGTGGGGACCACAGTCCCGGGAGCTTCGAGGGTGTCTGCAATACTTCTTTGCTACGTCGCCCACGAAGGACGTCGCCTGTGCTTACGACCCTCTCACCCGCACCTGTCATGGCGGAGGTTTTCGCACTTGATTGCAACGACGGAGTCGTTCCAACCTCGACGCCCATTCTCGAACCAAGGTCTTGATGACAATCACACCTTTGTCCTCCGACCTCATCCGCTCCAGTTACTCTGTTGAAGCGGCGATCGCTCTGATGTAGCGGTGACCCCTCATGTGCCTCGCGTTCTGATGGTGAGCGCGACTGCACACCCGGAAGAGCTCTTGAGCTGCCGATGTTCTCCATTGGCTTTATCGGTGTTTTCGTTTCGGAACGGCTTGAGTAGCGCTCGGATGGCAACGGGGAAGGCTGAGAAAAGCTGATCCGTGACTTTGGCGCTTTGATGGACGCCTTGGAAATGCGCCCCTCCGTTAGAGCTTGCTGGCAGCGGACAACTAGCGCTCTCAGCTCATCGCTAGCTGCTGATGATTTCCTTGTTATTCGTCCGTTGTCTTTCGCTGCAAACGGTGACCTCTGCTCGCCATGCGGTCCCATTCTTGCAACCCGTTTTCCAGGAGCCGAGGGCCCCGGTGTCACCTTCATTTCCCTGAGGCCGCTCAGAACTAGTTGCGCCGGTGCCATGGTCCGCATCGCACCCGCCACGACTTCCGCGTCGTCTGCTTTTTCCGTCTCCTGGATTTTCACGAGTGAATGTGTTGCAGAGCTTCCGCCCTCCCTTTGTCTACCTCCGTTCGATGGCAAGACAGGAGGCATAGCTCCACCGCCGATAATCGGTTGATTGGTCGCTTTGATGGCTTGCTCTTTTGGAGTCCGGCGCAGGCTCCCATTCGACCACCTGAGTCTTGGAAAGAGCCCGCCGAAGCTCAGCCGTCTGTAACGGTTATACATCGGCCAGATGGCCGAGATGCCACATGTGGAGGCTGACTGCGGACAAGGCCTCCCTCCTACCTTCTGCGCTCCAGCCCTATTCTTACGTGCGTACCGCATGAAGCTCAGTCCTGCCTTCCCCAGGGTGCCACGGACCCGAATAAGACGGCCTGAGCCTGCAACACCGCACAGTTGATGCCCCTTCGCCTTCTGCTGGATCGACCCAGTCACCGTGTCCAGTTTCGTATCGTTCGCATCCGAGGATACCTCTGAACTCGTGTCTTCCGTATCGGGTGAGGCATCGACGTTGTGGTAGTTGTACCCTCCAAAGACCTTCTCCAATGTCTCCACTTGCTGTATTATCTCGCCTGCGTCTCTTCTTCTCCCCTTTTCGTCTGACTTCTTGTTGATCCTCTTGATGTCGTAGACTTCAGGCGAAGGACAGTCTTCAGCTGCATTGGTTACGTCGCTCACGGCTCTGTCAAAAGCAGTCGCATGCGCTGCACCCACTATCGTTCCTCCAATGTGCCCATCCCACGACGAGCAGGTCTTATCTCGGGAAGAAATCCTTGAAGATTGGAAACCAGCTTCTTCTGCCTCGTGCGGCCGAACCACACGCGATTTCATTGAAGMAGACATCGATACACTTTCTACTGTGCATGATATCTCCGCAGATGTGCGAGTTGGACATAGCTCCAGATTTCTGCTCCGGGCGATTGTCTGTGAAACGATGGYCAGGTCCAAACCCAGCCGTATGGCTTGCTCTCTGATCGTCCGATTGATTGCAGCTAGGCAAGAACTCTGAAAGATCACGCTGGCTTCCATGACAGACGTTTYAGAACTTGTATGTTTGTACTGGGAGAGGAAATATGCAGCCCTGTCCCTGATCAATGGATGAGTGGCAATACAGCGAGCGGCTGGTCGCTTTTGGGGCACCTTATCCAACATTTCACTGAGGAGTGTTGTAAGTTCACTGCTGTACAAATCAAGTGGGATGTCACAGGTTTCCTGCGTGACGTGTACAGCTAGCTCTCTCACACTCCCACCTGAGAAAGGATGCTTCAGACATATCATCTCGTACAAAATGCATCCTAAAGCCCATATGTCTGATTTCTGGTCATAAGGTTCCCCGAGATAGAGCTCAGGTGACATATAAAATGGAGTTCCCACAAAAGTTTGGGCACAAGCATGTGTTGACTCCAGGACGCGTGCTATGCCAAAATCCCCAAGCTTTAGATGTGGGTGCTCTTCCTGAGAAAATGTGGTACGCCTTGGAGTGCAGAGGAGGATGTTCTCTGACTTGAGGTCCCTGTGAATGATCTTGTTGTCATGCAAGTATTCCAGAGCCAGCGCGATTTGTGCGAGCCAATCGATAATTTGTTCCTCTRMGAACCTCAGGCTCTGCTCTTTTCTTTTATTTATCCTTGTCCGTAGGTCTCCTCCTCTGCAATGCTCCATAACAATGCAGAGCCAGTTTCCATCAATGRCAAAGCTCTCCTTGCAACTCGTGATGTACGGATGAGATAGAGCCATTAACGTGGAGGCTTCSATGAAGCACAAATCACGCTCCTTCTGGGCGGACGGAAGGCTCACAACTTTCAGAACCCATCTCTGCCTCCTCAGAGGTGCMTTCTCTTCTTCGCTCCTCTTGTCCATCACGGCCGTAGAGCGGGACACAGACGCTGACTGAGCCCGCCTCTTCTCCTTTGCCAGGTAGACTCGACCTTGGGCACCCTCTCCCAAACGGCGAATAATCTGGTATTTCTCCATGGCGGCAAGAAGAGAGAAAGTCGCGAAAAATCGTGACCGCGCAGGAACTCGTATGATGGCCCAATACCGTCTCCCGTTACTGCTGCTGACCCGGGAGGTCGACCCCTAGGCGAGGGATGACGTTACCGAACACCATGTGACGGACAATACATCGTCGAACACTGACACACAGCACTGCTGCTGTCGGATTTTTCGATTTATGCGTGTCATCCTTGAAAGCGCAGGGCCATTTTGCTAATTACCCTTCTCTGTATCGTTCCAATTTTAACGGATGTCCCGAATACTGTCAGATTAGAATAGCCCAGAGTAGCTCCCGTTGATAATAGAGGTTGGGGGAGCAGATGGTGGCCGTGAACCTGGTGAGGACAGAAACTGGAGTTACTCTGGGGGATGCTAACAGAATGCCTAGACATCCAGTTGATGATAGAGGTATGGGGACAATCGGGGATGGGGAGGGAGGTGATAACTTGCTTAGCTCTGATGTCTATACCGGCTGTCTGGTCAAAGATCACTAGAATGCATATGGGTATACTCACGTAGGACCTGGGACCCTGCCACCAGCAGCGGTGTCTCACGTGGGCCCGTCACGCGAGACCCACCTTTTCCTTTAAGGTAATAATAAAATAATAATAAATAAATAAATAATATAATATAATATAATAATAATAAAGGTATTAGAGATATTAGAGATAGAGAAGTCGCATCTCCCACATCTGGGACCCTGCCACCAGCAGCGGTGTCTCACATGGGCCCGTCATGCGAGACCCGCCTTCGCATCTCCCACATCTGGGACCCT